GTCATGAAGGGGCCATAGTTTCCCCATGCTGGCTAGGAATTCTGGGAGTCGAAGTCCACGAGTCATGAAGGGCCCATAGTTCCCCCATGCTGGCTCAGGAATTCTGGGAGTCGAAGTCCACCAGTCATGAAGGGGCCATAGTTCCCCCATGCTGGCTAGGAATTCTGGGAGTCGAAGTCCACGAGTCATGAAGGGGCCATAGTTTCCCCATGCTAGCTGAGGAATTCTGGGAGTTGAAGTCCACCAGTCATGAAAGGGCCATAGTTCCCCCATGCTGGCTGAGGAATTCTGGGAGTTGAAGTCCACCAGTCATGAAGGGGCCATAGTTCCCCCATGCTGGCTGAGGAATTCTGGGAGTTGAAGTCCATAAATCATGAAGGGACCGTAGTTCCCCCATGCTGGCTGAGGAATTCTGGGAGTTGAAGTCCACGAGTCATAAAAGAGCCAAGGTTGCCTACCCCTGGACTAGATTAATTAATTTCAAGAAAAGATTGGACAACCATTTGTCCAGGATTGTATGAGGACTCCTGCCTCCGCCTGAGGGTTGGACTAGAAGACCTCCAAGGTCCCTTCCAGGCCTAGGACTCTATGGGGTTAACTTCTCAGCTGACACCCTGCCTGTGACTTGTGAAAAAGGATGTGGTATTTGAGAACGTCTTCTCCTTCCTCCAACGGGGTAGAGCAGGGTCTCCCAACCTCAAGGACTTCAAGATGGGTGGACTTCAATTCCCAGGATTCCCCAGCCAGCCGTTAACACCCGTGGCAAAAAAAAAAAAAAAAAAGTTGGGCGCAACTCACAACTGCCTTGGTTGGTGCCAATTATGCTCATATCCGGGGTCCTGACTAGTTAATTCAGCATTAAAATCGCGTTTTTCCCTCTTCTCTAGACGCACGTTTTGCTGTGTGGACCAGCCAGGTGTCTCAATCCTGACATCCTGAAACAGGCTGGCTGGGGAATTCTGGGAGTTGAAGTCTTCCCCCCCCCCACCCCTCCATCATAACGTTGCTGAACGAGACTCAGAAGCAAATTGGCAGCTAAGGCGAGGTGACATGGATGCCAATCTCAGTTTACACAGAACCGGCGCACTGCCGTATTTTGAACCCATTGAAGCTCCCGGATACCCTTCAAGGGCAGCCCCACGTAGAGCGCGCGGCAGTAGTCCAGACGGGACGTCGCTTGTTACCTGTTGGTTTCTGAAGAGTTGGGTTGACAGCTGGTCTCCCGAGGGTGCAACATCTGGAAGGAGGTCGCCCGCGAAGTAGAACTGATCTGCACAAAAGCCAGAGGTTGAAGAGGTCAGACACCCCCACCCCTCCACCTATCCCCATCTT